ACAGCTACTCTCTCTAAGGCTGAGAGAGAGTGCCCAAGGAAGGAACAAATTTGGAAGAGCCCTCGACTCCCAACCAAGGCTAAGATTCAGACCTTACTGGAGAGGGTGTGGGTGGGGTGGAAGTTTACCAAGTAGTCTCAGGTCAGAGTTGGTCTGCAGCTAGTACACCAGTATCAGAGAAGATGGAGCCACCCAATGTGGTGCCAGCAAAACTCTTTGAGCTATGAACCACTGTGTCTTCCACACACTGTTGGTAAGTGAGGCACCCACTGTGGTGTCAGTGAAATTCAATAGAGAATGAATGCTATTGCATTTCCCACACACCTCTGGCAACCATGCTATGCTGTAGATGCAAGAAGCAAAGCACACCAGAACTATTTCTTCTGCTATGTCTTAGAGCATTCTTCCTGCACGCTCTGCTTACAAAGTCTAACATTATAACAATTGACAAAAAAAGGAATATTTACAGAGTTCAGCTCCAATATTACAAAACAGGGCAAAGAACTGTAGAACTGGAACTGAGTGGGAATAAATTGATAGCTAGTATATCCAGCAGTTAACTTTTAGATAATGAAAATCTTAAAAGATACCATTCATAATAGATAATCAAGTACCAGGGAAGAAACTAAATGATTGATATATGAGATTTCTAAAATAGTACTAAGAGAAATTAAAAAGGATTGAAATAAATGACTAGATATTGCTATGTTCAAGGGCCAGTGTTGTCAAGATATAAACTCTCCCCAAACCGAGCTATAGGTTCAATGTACCAAAGGGGCGTGTACAGAAATGTTCCTAGCAGCACTATTTGTGGTAGCCCCAAACTAGAGATAACTCAATGTCTACCAACAGTAGAATGGATATATAAATTGTCAGTAGTTATACCAAGGAATACTATATACATGAATGAAAATGAAGACACTATAACTAAATGGAACAGCATGGCTGAATCTTATGAACTTAGTGTTAAACAAAAGAAGCCAGACTCTCCCCATATATATACTTTGTGATTCTATTTTTGTAAAGATCAAAAACGCAAAAAGTAAACTATAGTGTTAGAAATCAATATAGCAGCTCTCCTTGGGAAAGTGGGAGGTGATAGTAATTGTGAGGGGCCACAAGGGCTTTTTGGATATTGACAGTATTCTATTTCTTGTCATTGGTGGTGCTTACATAAGAATTCCCTTTGTGATAATCCACCGAGCTCTGTATTTGTTTTATGAACTTTTCTGTATTTGTTAAACTTCAATTTAAAAAAATGAATTATATCCTTAGTAGATAAGTGTGTAAGAAATGGTCCTGTGGAAGTGTAAATGGATAGTTTTTCTTGGAAGCAGTTTGGCCATATATATCAAAAATCTTAAAAATGTACATATCCTTTTTACCCAGCAATTCCACTTCTAGGAGTGATCCTAAGGAAATAATGAAATAGTTTCATAATCATTAAAACGATGTAGATCTATGTTTATTAACATAGATGGATGTTCATGATTTTTTGTAAGTAAACAATCGGATTAGAATAAATATGTTTTTTTTGATGTGTGTGTTGCCATATATAATCCATGTATATAAGACATATATTAGAGTACAATGTATATTTGGCTTTAAGAAAGATAAAAAATATATACATTCATACATGTTTATATACAGATGAAAAACACTAGAAATAATAACATTGTTTTCTGTTTATTCAAAATCATTTCAAATGAGCATATCTTTAATAATCAGGAAAAAATAAAGATATGTATATTTTGAAAAACTATGTATAATATTAAGGGATGAAAGGATATTACCTAGGAAAATGAGAGGTAAATAATATGTCAAAATGTTAAAAATGAAAGTAATCTTTTATCCTTTATACCATTTTTTCTTTATATCCTTTTGCATTTTCAAATCTTCTATTATAAACATACCTTATTTCATTAATCAGAAAAAGGAAAAAGAAATCTAACACCTAAAGTCTGATTGCTTACACATAATAGTAAGGGGAAAGGCTGTGGAACACTGAAGACTTTAGTTTTTCGGAGCCGTGGGGCCCAGTAGGACAAATTGTAAGGGGACAGGAGGCACTCAGGCTTCAAACCCCAAGCTTCCCACTGGCTCCCCTGAGGAGGTTGCATTTCTTTATCAAATTATCAGCCAATTAATAAGCTATTTTCTGTTCTTCTTCTTCTTCTTCTTTTTTTTTTTTTTTTTTTTTGTTGTTTGTATGAAACTCTACATCCAATACTGTTAGGAAAACTTCCTATGGGCCAGTGGGCTTTTTCCATGGAGAACGTTTTGGGGCTGAACTTACCATGGAGATCCCTGAGAACTCGTTTGGTCACCACAGACAAAGATGGAAATATTGACTACATGTCCTGCTTTGATGATATGCACATTCAGAAGCCTGTGCAAGAGGCAAGTGAAACACAGCCCTGGCTATATCCTGGCCACAATGAAACACCCTTTAGATAACTTATAAGCATAATTTATAGTCCTTTGAACAGTTGGGAGTAGGGTCATATAATGAATGAGAGTGGCAGTCTTAGGAAAGGCCTGAGGATGTTTGCCCAGGTACATTGCAGTCTGTTCAGGAAATGTGCATGTTTTGAAGATAGGCAAAAAGAAGAAAAAGGTTCTGCAAGCAAATCCATGTCAAATGTGTGATTCTTCTCTTAAGGGCTGTCCAGCAGAAGAGTAGATGTGACATCCATTCTTTTATATAACACACCCTTTAAAATACTCAACATATTCCCTATTAAATTGTGAGTATATAGACTTACTGACATGACATCTTATACCTTAGAGACTTTGAAAGTTTAGAATTCTTTATTAAAATGGGAATACCTCAGGGAAAGCTGTCAGACCTCCAGTATTCATTAGTTAACAACTCATCAGCAATTAGTTATAATGTTGGGCTGAAAGCTGATGGGAACTAAGACTGGGGTGATTGTTTGCAGGGGAGATGAGAAGTTAAAAGCAGAGAGAAGGAAAGTAAAAGTGTAGGTGGGAGCCTCAAATATCCACAAGAAGGAGGCTTTGAGCTTCACATAAGGGGCAGTTTACCGCAGTGACTGAGCTCACAGGCCTTGGCTTTAGACAACTGAGATTCAAATCCTACTTACTGGCTATGCAAACCTTGGGAAACTTACTTTACCACTCTGTTCTTTAATTTGTAAAATGGACATAAGAATAGTTCTGTTCCTTGGGGCTGTGTTGAGGACTGAATGAAACAACTCACAGAAGAGATAATGCAGAGCCTGGCACACAAGGTGTTCTCAGTAAATGTTGGCTGTTGTTATTTACTGCTTCCTGGTCCTCTTCGGCCCTGTGCTCTGTGGAGCACAACTACAAATGCACCAAAACTCAAGAGCATGGTCTTCTATCTGATTAAAGAGGGTTGGGTTCCATCTGTCTAAATCACATACTTTGAATTGGTGATGATGTATTGTGTTTGTTATGTTTACTAAAATGATTTGTGTTATTAATTCTATGTGTTTTAACACTTAGAAAATCTTTATTTTAGGTTCAGTCTGCTCTAATTGAAACTCTGTATAGATACCGATCTGACCTGCATATCATCTTTAATGTCATTGACTCCGATCACTCAGGTAAATGAACTTTGATTAGTTCACCAGCAATAGAAAGCAAAAGCTAGTCTGTTTCTCTGAAACCAGAACTATTTTCATCTATTGCTTCTTTATCCAAATTCGATTTAACTCAGAGGTGGAAGGGGACTCTTCTTTAATATTATTGTTATTTTAGTTTGGCTACAAACTGTATTCAAGACCATATGGTCTTATATAGGCCTATGTATCCACAAGTCAGACAAGAATAGCTCCTTTTATAAATCATAGCACAGATGAAAAGAGAGCTCACTGTCCATTTAAACATAGCTATTCCTGGGAATAAAAATCATTCCTAGAGTTCTACTTTTGTTTATGGGACTGAGGACTATGAAAACTCATTTTCTGCTTAGTTTCGATGTACAATTACTTATTTTCAAACTTTAAAAAAATCACCAGAATATCTCTAACTGCAGAGATCACTGAACACCAAAAAAAATCAATAATCAAAACACAAAAGTAAATTATTACCTATAAAAAATGGCTGAGCCATTGTTTGCAATGTTCTTACTGAGTCCCAGGGTATCTTCTCTCTCTGCTTTGCTGTTGCTCTCCTCTCTGCCCTCCTTCCACGTCCCTCTCCCTTAGATTTTAGATCTTGTAATTTTTATACCACATATAGTCCCACATCCACAATCTCCCCACCCCTATTCCTTCACTGTTTACTCATTTCAGCTTTAGAATAATCTCAGGATCACTTGGTAGTTTAAAGTGACGTATTGTTTATTATACTCACAATCTCACTTTTCTATTTCCTTCAGTATCTTGATGGTCAGGCATGTTAGAGAGCTAATTGGGACTAGTCAATCAGTATGGCTTCCCGACCCCTCCCTTAAGTGGGTCTTAAAATGAACAGCCTTCCCCTATATTCTTTTAGGTCTGATCTCCATGGAAGAATTTCAGTCCATGTGGAATCTTTTCAATAGTCACTACAATATTTGTATTGATGAATCCCAAGTTGAAGAGCTTGCTAGAAGAATGGACTTAAACAAAGATGGAAGCATCGACTTTAATGAGTTTTTGAAGGCTTTCTATGTGGTGCATAAATTAGATCATCTGAACAAATCAGACACCAAGCATGTGTAACAAGAATTAGGGCTTTCTCTCCTTGTAAACAGCCAGTGACACAATCTTTTCCAGGACCCTCGCAATTCATAGCCAGTAGTAGAGAAAAGTATACCCCAATTTATGCCATAAACAGATGTATAGTGTGGGTATTAGAAGTCCCTAGTAAGGTGTTATTCGTAAGACTAGGCTAAATGTCAGCTGATAGATTTGGTTCCAGTGATTCGGACCCACACATTTCTATGTAGAAAATGGATTTGAGCCTAGTGTTGGTCTCAGATGCCACCTAACCAGGAGATCAGAGAAGTTTGGAAACATACTGAAAGGAACCCACAGAGCATCAAAGAAAAACATAACATCTGTGAGTGGCTGAGGGATAGGAAGAGGAATACCAAACTACTACTAGAATAAAATACTTGCACCTTTCAACTGTAATCTTTTTTGGCGATACGTAAACCAGTGATTCTCAATTGTAGGGGAATCACTCTTTAGGGGTGGGGGCCATATCAGATTCTTGGGGGAAGCTGTGGGAGTGTATTATTTGAAAGAGCATATTCTTGTCTGTTGGAGATACAAAGTGAATACATTCAGAATGAGCCCTAAAATTAATATGGTTTGACACCTTCACTGGTAAGACTGGGCCTTGGTTATGTATACATTGTGCAATTTATTCTGCTATTCTAATTGCATTCAAACATAATAAGATTTCTGTTTAATGGTAAGTATATTTTAATTTTTCTCTCTAAGTTTGAGAATTTCAAGATCTACCAATATGCCAGAGTAGATATATAATAACCTTGCCTGTTATACACACCAGAAATAATGGATAAAATGTAAGAAATATCTTTTTTAAATGCATAGCTGAGCTGGCAGGAAAGTAAAAGAAATCTCTGGGCGGGGGGCAGAAAAAAAGCATTATTTAAGTCATAACAATATTAACATTGGACAGGATAGGCTTTAAGGCAAAGAATATCATTAGGGATAAAAAAAGTCATTACTGAATGCTAAAAGGAATTCACCAGGAAGATATAATAATTATAAACATATATGAATCTAGTAACAGAGCTTTAAAATTTGTAATGCAAAAATTGATCTAACTACTGGGAGAAATTGATAGAGGAAGATTTTAAATATACCTCTGTCAGTAATTGATCATATAAATAAAAAATCAATGTATAGAAGATTGGACAACCCAATTAATCCACCTGCTCATATGTCTGTATGTGTATCCTCTGCAATCAGTTTTAGAGAATACACATTATTTTCAAGCACACGTGGAACATTTATAAAAATTAAACATGTTAGACCACAGAAAAATCTCAAAAACCAAGCAATTGATAACAAAGATACTACATTCTCTGATCATAATGCAGTTAAATTAGAAATAAGAAGATAACCATATTTATGAGCAAAAAGGGGATATAACTGTATCTCTACCAGAAATTTCTAAAAATGGTTCTCAAGAGTACTATGAATAACTTTATCCCAATAATTTTAAAAAGTCGGAGAATGAATTATTTCCTAGGAAAAAATATAATTAACTAAAGCTGACTCAAGAACAAAGGAAGAGTCTGAAGAGACCTAACCATTAAACAATGTGGTAGCTTTGTAATGTGTCAGTTTGACTAGGCCGAACTACATTTCTCAGAATTCCCTTGTATGTTTCTGGTTAAGATGGGCCACAAGGGAGATTCTTGAGAGATTTGGAAGGCAAAGGGAAGCACAGCCATCATGTAGCTCCTCCATACTTTTGCTGAGCTGCTGATTCACCTTGTTAGTGTAAAACATAGCTAGACTTGCAATCACTCTACATTTCCCTGGATCCTGTCAGCTTCTCTGATTTCTGGGCCAGGTGTGTGTGTTTAACTCCATGCAAAAGGGCCTGGCTTCTGCAGGATGACCTCATCACCGAGGCCAGAAGCAATACAAATGGACTGAGGCATGAGTCTGTTCTTGTGGGGTGCCAACTTGTGCCTGTGAGTTTGAACCTGCTTCTGACTGGTACAGAATTTGATGCTAACAGTTCATGGTTCCAGAAGAACAGAATCTGAAACATGAGTGTTCTACATGTGTACAACCTAATGTGTACAGACCTTCTGCCCCATTACCTCACATGAAAATCCACTGATAATCCTGGGATAATGGTTTTAAGAAATATCCCGTCTCTGGCAGTACTGGGTGAGTCTTCTTGCTTCCTGAATATTGTTTGGTTATTTATTCTCAGGGTTCTTTCTGGAACTCTCATTTTCTCCCTTGGGCTTCTAATTTCTGGAATTAATTATATGCCTTTGTTAGAATTTTTACCTAAAAAAATGCACTTTGATTTTACTAAAGTTTGTCATTTCATGTTATAAAACTTCTGTCTGACATGAGTTGTGCTTAACCACACTTAAATTTTACAAAGCACATAGAAAGATAGATGGATAGAGTTATGAAATACCTTACTTTTAATTTATAATTTTTTATTACAAATGAGATTGAGCATCTTATTAGTTTGTTGGTCAGTCTATTCTAAGAAAATGCTTGTTTTTATCCTTTGCTCATTCTAATACTGTAGCTACTTGTCTTTTTCTTACAGATTTCTAAGAACTTTGTAATTCTTCTTGATGCTAATCCTTTGTTCATTATTTGGGGAATAGATATCTTCTTCCAGTCTATGACTTGATTTTTCACTTTCTTTTTTGACATATATTTTCAAGCAGTTTTAAATTTCAATTGATCCAATTTGGCAATCGTTTCATTTATAATTTGTGCTTTCTGCATCTTGTCTAAAAACAAAAATATCCTTTCCAACCCTGGAAATATCATTAAAGATACAGTTGATCCTTATTATTTGCAGATTTCGTATTTGCAAATTCACCTACTCACTATAATTTATTTATAACCTAAAATCAATATTTATGGTGGCCATGTGCAAAATAATGAACATTTAGAGTCACACATTTCCAGCTGGGGTTAAAAAGGCAACTGTCTACCTTCCTGTTCCAGCTCTCATACTGTAAGTAAAGGTCCTTTTTGCAGTATATTTAGTGCCACTTTTTTTTTCATTTCTTTGCTTTTTGTTGGTGATTTTGCTGTTTAACATGGCCCCCAAATGTAGTACTGAAATGCTGTCTAGCGTCCTTAAGTGCAAGAAAGCTGTGAGGTGCCTTATGGAGAAACTACACGTATTAGATAAACTTTATTCAGACATGGGTTATAGTGTTGCTGGCCGTGAGTTTAGTGTTAATCAATCATCAATATATATTAATTGAGGTGTTTTTCAACAGAAACACATATAAAACAAGGTTATGTCATTGATCAATTGACAAAAATGTGACCAGAGGCTCATAGGGATCAAACCCTATATTTTCCCTAGGAACAATGCTTCAGATTCGCTAATTCACTGGTCACAGTGATCATATAGAATACAACTATCGTGAGTAATGAGAACCAACTATATTCTTCAAAAGTTTAAAAAATTTTGCTTTTCCAGAGCATTTAGCTTTTTCATTCACTGGAAATGTGGGAGCATGGTGCAGAGACACCATTTATTGAGTAGTTCATTCTTTCCCACTAATTTGAAATGTCACCTCTGTCATATAGTAAGCTCTGTTTCTAGGCTGTCTGTTATGATCCAATGGTCTCTTTGGTCTATCATCTCATGACTATCTCATGTATGAAATACTAGAACTTAAAATAATCTTGATATTTGGTATTATGAATCCCTTCTTTCTCACCGTTGTTCTTTAAAATTTTTTTGGTCCTTTAGTCCTCTACATAATTTAGGATCAGCTTGTCAATTCCATGAAATCTTGTTGGATTTTTATGGAAACTATATTAAATTTATAGATTAATCTGGATAGAATTGCCATCATTACTACATTGAGTTTTCCTATCCATGAACATTGTACATATTTTTTTCAATTATTTTAGTCTTCTCTCTCTCTCTCTTTTTTTTTTAACACCTACAGCACCTGGAATTCCTGAGTGGTCTCCCATCCAAGTACTAACCAGGCCCGACCCTGCTTAGCTTCCAAGATCAGATGGGATCGGACACATTCAGGGTGGCATGGCCATAGACTTCTAATGTTTTTTAATACAGAATTTCTCATTATTATTCTTGCAATCTTTTTAAAAAGGTTTATTCTGAGGTACATTATGTTTTTTTTTTTGTTGGTAGTGGTCTATTTAATTTTTTAAAAAATTCTGCTTGCTCTTTTTAAGGTTTAGTCCAGTCATTTTATGTATTTTATAATTTCATTCTAGTTATCTCTGTATTTGGAGTTTGTGGAGGTATAATTGTATGTTTGTCATATATGTAGACTCGATCAGGTTGACTTGTTCACTCTTGGACTTTGTCCTTTTTTATTGTGAACTCATCATTAGTGGGGCTGGTATTTTTTTCTGCGAAAATCCCATGATATTTGGGATGTGAGAGCATCTCTTCAGAAAAATTTTTGTTTGCTTCTGCCTCATGCCTTGAGAGTATCACTGCTTGAGGAACAATTCTTTCATTACTTTTTGTCTGGAGTTTTTGAACTATGTGGGTAGAGTAAAACCAATGTGAATTGTGGTCCTGTGGTTTTGAATCTTCAGAGAGCTTTTCTTTTTTTCCCACCCAAAGCCCTGTGTCCTCTAGTCTCTCTTGTTTTTAAATCCTTTCATAAATAGAATAGTCCTTTGAGGGTCTTGGCTTTATGGAAAGTTCTCAGTTCCAATTCTCTCCTTCCCAGAGCCCAAAGCCTCATTTGCTACTGCTCCGTGGGAATTAACACCAAACCCCTGGGTTCTGGAGACACATACCCACTCACCTTCATTAGCTCAAGCACTCACCCCTCTGCTTTGTCACTTCTCTCTGTGTTTCTGGCACCTAGGGATTTGCTTTTATTATTTGTGAGCTCTAGCTGTACATTTAAAATAATCGTTACATTTTACCCAGTACCTTTACGTGATTATAGTAAAAGGATTTTCAGATTGTCTTAATCCACTAAATTACTAGAAGCTGATAAACAGACTTTTTGTATCCACTGCTATTTGTTAATAATCTTGAGGCTTCATATTTTTATTTGGACAATGATTGAGTGTTCATAATATGCCATGGTGCTTTATGTGTTATTTACCAGGTCTCAATTTTTAAACTTTGGTAGAAATTATTTCTAAATAATTTTCCTCTTTAATGTTTTTTTGTTTGTTTGTTTTTGTTTTTGCATGCATGGGATCATATTATACTTTAAAAAAAGGGCACTTATTTTTTTCCTTTTACCTTGCCTCCTCCAACATAAGCATGGCCCTTATCATCCCTTCTTCCTCTTCTAGGGAAGCCATGTTAACCTACTGTATGGCCTTCCATATTTTTATCTGTCCCATATAAATCTTTGGAGACCTATATATGTCCTCATATATGCATACATTTACATACACAGTAATACATAATCAAGGTGGTT